TAAGAACCAGTGTTTCATTTAAACCTAATGATCCATATTTTCCAAATTCGGTTTCCAAGTACAAAACGAAGGTGTCTTTTGTTAAAGGGAGAAATGACACGGAAATTTTCAATCATTGGTTGGAGGGAAAAGGGCGACAATTTCAGTCGACAAAGTATTCTCAAGCACAAGTCCAAGAGGCTTATGATAGTTACTTGAATGAGTCCTTGAATGGAAGTACTTCCTCTCAATAATTAGTGTCGAAAGTTCAAAAATGGAAAGAAGTCAAAACAACGAAAATTGATGTGCCACAAGGAAAGGTTGAAAAAGAGAAACTTTACCTAGAAACTTTACCATCGCATGAATACATATCAATTCCTAAAGCTGATGAAGTCGACTTAATTGAAAAAAATTAAAACTAAAGTTCGAAATTGGATTTTTAGCTCTTCATTGCATAATTTGTTCCAAACTAAAGTTCTAAGAAACATGAAGAAAGAGTGGCTATTTGAAGAAAGATTGGCTATTTGAATAGTCTCAAAACTTTGAATATGAGGTCACTAAGCTTCGTGAAGTTGCTAAAGAGCATCATGAACTCTTTGATAAAAAGGTGGCTGAAACGAAAGCTTCTCTTAAACTCAAGGTTAATGAACTTCGAACCTTGATGTCTAAAGAGGTTAAGAAGATTGATGATAACTATAGCTTATTGCATGAAAAATTTGATGTCGTTGCTGGTGCAACAACTCGCTTGGTTGAACTCAACAAGGATTATTCAAAATATCTAAAAGTCAAGACTAAGAAGGATGACAAAGTATTTGAGAAAGTTAAAGATTTTTTATCTGGAATTAAAGAAACATTATCGAAAGTAGATCTTTTGACTCAATCTTCCATTTCTCAAGATTCCATTTCTACAATGGTTTCGAACATTGAGTCCAGCATCAAAGCTGAGTTGGCTTCAATCCTCAATTTGGTACTTCGTTTACTAACAAATACTCCACGTCCTACGCACGTCTTATAAGGGCGAGAAAGAGGAGTTGGTTCGTCTAATGGATCTGGTGATGACTATGGAGTAGTTGTGGGGAAAGTTATGTCTACTCAAACTCCAACAATAATCCCAATGAAGCCAGTAATCATATCATCAACAACAACCACTATAATATGGAATCTTGATCAGTCAAAATTCCAAATAAAAGGGATTTCGATCAATGAAGGTTCGAGTTCTGCTCTTTTCAAAACAACTTCTAATGTAGATCCCAAAGATAAGGAGAAAATCATTCAAGTTGAACAATCAGAAGAAAATAAGAAGAAACTGCAAGCAATTGAGATGGAAAGACAAAGGCAAATCAACAGTATTTGGAGTCAAAGTTTGGAACCATTTCTAGCCCATTAAAGGTATAAAGTTTGAACCTTGATCATTCCAATATTAGATATAGGTTTAGATTAGAAAATGGTATCTTTTGGTCCCATAGTTGGATTCTTGGAGTGTGAGCAACTTCAGGCCATATGAGTTGTCCTTTTGGACTCTTGGAAGTGTTTTGAGTCATAAAAATCGGATCTTGATGGTAAATCCTCAAACATGCAAGTGTTAGTAACCATCCAAGTGTGCTTATGGACTTAATTTATGATTTGAGCCACATACGTGCATGCAAAAGCATAAAGTTTGCCACTTTATCGCTTAATACATTATTAGGGACTTGGATCTAAGTTTTGGACGTTAGGACTTAATGGATTAAGGCATGGTAGTGTGTTTGGGTTGGCAGACCAGTACACCACGCGTACTCCAGTGTACGTTGTGTGTACTGGGTCAGCATCCCGACTCCTGGTCAACACCAGCGTACGTTGGGCATACAAGCCAAGTACGTCGCGCGTACGCAGTCAGTGAGCCTAAAAGATTTTTAGGCTCATTTGGTGTTGGGCTTTAGGCTTTTGTAAGTTGGGCCTCGGGCCCACCTGATTGTAGCAAGTCATTTTTGGGTCTAAGGCTATGTTTGGGGTTCTTGGACCATATTGGGCCTTAGAGGCCTTATAGTTAGGATTGGGTGCCCTTTTTGAACTTTGATTGGATTTGGGCCTTGGGATGAGGGAGGCCCAATAAGGCAAAAATAAAGAAGCTCTTTTTGTCTTAAGTTAAGAATTAGGTTTTTGGACTTTCGGGTTAGAATGTAACCTAATTTCTAATTAGGGTTTTATGCTTGTGCGATAGGGAGAGGAGTTTGCGAGTCATCCGCTGAGTGGGATTTGATACCTATAGTCTGATGTGAGTCTTCCTTTGCAGTATCTATGGTTCGAAGGCACCAAGGTCGGCCCACTAGTTTATGTTGTAGTACGATGATTGTCTTTGTGACAATTTTCAGTTATGCCTGTATTTGTTTGATGACTCTGTGATTTCTGTTATGATATTATGTGGTAATAGTAGGGGTGAAATAGACCTGGTATCCGATTGAAATAGACCGAAAGGGTAGGCAAGCACCCATATATGTTTGATAGTATCCGGTTGAAATAGACCGAAGGGGTAGGCAAGCACAAAGATATGATTGACAGTATCCGGTTGAAATAGACCGAAGGCGTAGGCAAGCACCCATATATGCTTAGCAGCATGTTCGTTTAGTATATACTCCCTCCGTCCCAAAATTATAGTCCATCTTTCCTTTTTGGTTTGTCCCAAAATAATAGTCATCTTCTAAAAATAAATAACATTTTTACCAAAATACCCCCTCATTATTAATTAACCAACTAAGCATTTAATGGAACATTAAATGCTTAGTAAGGACAAAACTGTCATTTTATTATATAAAGTTAGTGGTAATTAATGTTTTTCTTAATCTGTGTGTTTTTTGTCTGTGGACAATAATATTAGGACGGAGGGAGTAGTATTTTGGGGGAACTCACTAAGCTTTGTGATTACAATTTTCAGTTTATGTTTCAGGTACTTCCAGTTCGAAGGGGATGGGCCCGGCCTGATCGCACCACATCACTCTATGTTTTTCCACACTTAGTGATTTTGGGAATTTGTACTCTGATAACATGTTACAATTATACTCTTTCGACTATTTTGATATCAGTTTCTTTATGAATCGAATGAATTTAAAAACAAAATTTTATCTGTATTCTTGGGATGTTACACTCCACCACCTTCATCTTTCTCCATATCCGGTGAGCCGTCGATGATTAGGGTTTCAGCGAATCCCCTAGCTTTTTCGTCCTTCTCATTTTCCAAAACCCTAGCGTTGCCACCTATCTCATCTGGAGGTGGCGGTGAATTGGAGTTTTAAAGAACCCTAACGATGTTGTAAGTTGATTAGGGTTTCTGGCGGTGGCGAGTGGGTTAGGGTTTCTCTACGGTGTGAGTCGACAATGGAGAGGTACGGCGTTGTAACTTACATAGATGTGAGAAAGGGGCGACATTATAAACTGATCCTTTGACTGCCTCTATCAATGTCGACCTTAGGGTTTTCAAGATCTCCAAACGGCTGAGGTGTTCGTAGCAGCAAAAGAGAGAGAAAGAGAGAGGTGGCGATCATACCAGCAGAAAAAAAGAAAAAGGGTGGTTCCAACAGTGGTCCAAAAAAAGGGCGGCGTCGGATGTGTCGGTAGCTGGTGGTAGTGGTGGTGTTTTCTGTATGTTAAAATCAAATGTAAGGTGGCGGTGAATTGGAGTTTTCAAGAACTCTGATGATGTTGTAAGTTGATTAGAGTTTCTGGCGGCGGCGAGTGGGTTAGGGTTTCTCTACGGTGTGATTCGACAATGGAGAGGTGCGGCGTTATAACTTACATAGATATGAGAAAGGGGCGACACTATAAAGTGATCTTTTGACTGCCTCTATCAATATCGACCTTAGGGTTTTCAAGATCTCCAAACAGTTGAGGTGTTGGTAGCAGCATAAGAGAGAGGTGACGATCATACCAGCAGAAAGAAAGAAAATGGGTGGTTCCAACGGTGGTCCGACAAAAAGGGTGGCGTCGGCTGTTTTGGTAGCTGGTGGTGGTGGTGGTATTTTATGTATGTTAAAATCAAATGTAAGATGAGTATTGTAGAGAGAGAGAGAGAGAGAGGTTGGGTGGATGGAGTATGTATTTTCTTTTTCCTTTTTTTTTTCTTATTTCTACATCAAAAAGAAATTTAAAAAAAAAAATAGAAATGACAAAATAATCACTAAAAACATTTAAAAAAATTTATAGTCAAAATTGCAGTTAAATTCTTATTTTAGACCAATAATATTAATCCAAAACTTTTTAGATAAAAATAATAATTTACTACTAAACACAAAGAGCATTTTTGTAATTTAGTCTAAGAATTATACAAATTATGGTTATCATTTACAAAATTTTGTCAATTTGTAAATTAGGTTTTTTTTTTCAAATCTAAAAATAAAAAACAAAAAAATGATAAAAGACATGTAAGTGTTGCTTATGATTTATATGCCATCATTAAACTTTGATAAAATATAGAAAAAAACATAACTCTTTTTAATAAAAAGAAAACAAGACAAAATCATCATCATTATCAACCACCAATCATCCTAACCACATTCCTAAAAATTGTAGGGTAGTTCTTATTCTTATTAAATTACACATCCAACAATTTTAACCCATAAAACAAAAACACAATAACAAAAATACTAATTATAATTTAAATAATTTAAATAATCCAATTCGATAATAACGAAGATACAATCCAACCGTTGACCATCGTCAATTAATATGAATCTTAAGCTTGAGTCTCATAAATTATATTTTATTGTTTTGGTTATGTTCGTTTTTCAAAACCCAAATTATATTTATTTAATAAAATGATAAATAAATTGAAAAAAAAAAAAAAAAAAAAAAGATACCACCACTTATTGGAGTATAAGAATCATCCCACCCAATCTTTTCTTCTTATTATTATCAATCGTCATATTTTTTCCATCTTCTGTCACAATAAACACATTTTCTTTATAACTTATTCATCACGTATGCTATAAAACGTTTCCATGTTCAATATTCATAAATTTACAATCTGATTTCCCATAACTCCGGCCAAAATGGAGGCCGGCGGTCCACCGGAACCAAAACCCTCATCATTGACACGTCTCAACACCTTCGTCGGAAAATCCCGGATCGGAAAACGGTTCAAACTCAATGAACGCAAGACCACCTTCACCACCGAGCTCCGCGCCGGCACCGCCACCTTCCTCACCATGGCTTACATTCTCGCTGTCAACGCCAGTATCCTTTCAGACTCTGGCGGCCCTTGCTCCGTCTCCGACTGTATCGACCTCTGTTCTGATTCATCCGTCGCCGTCTCCAACTGCACAGGTCCGAACTTACGGGTCATTCAACCCGACGACACCTGCAAGTTTTCTCCGGTGAACCCTGGTTACACCGAGTGTTTGGGAAGAGTCCGGAAAGATCTTATCGTCGCCACCGTAGCTTCTTCGCTTATTGGGTGTGTGATCATGGGCACTTTCGCTAATTTACCCTTGGCTTTAGCACCTGGAATGGGTGCTAACGCCTACTTCGCTTACACCGTCGTCGGATTTCATGGCTCCGGTAACATATCTTATGAAAACGCCCTCGCCGCTGTTTTCATCGAAGGGATGATATTTTTGTTGATTTCTGCCGTCGGCTTACGAGCTAAGCTTGCGAAATTGGTTCCGAAGCCGGTGAGAATCTCTTCATCGGCCGGAATCGGCTTGTTTTTAGCTTTCATCGGCTTGCAGAGCAACCAAGGTATCGGCTTAATAGGTTACAGCTCTTCAACTCTCCTTACCATCGGCGCGTGTCCAATCTCCTCACGCGCTTCACTCGCGCCTGTAATTACTTTCCCCAACGGCACTGTCACCCTCCTCCCCGGCGGCTCCGTCTCCGGCGATATTATGTGTCTGCATAACCGAATGGAAAGCCCAACGTTCTGGCTCGGCGTGGTCGGTTTCGTAATTATCGGTTACTGTTTGGTTAAAAACGTAAAAGGTGCGATGATTTATGGCATTGTGTTTGTAACTGCTGTATCATGGTTCCGTAACACGCAAGTAACGGCGTTTCCCGACACTCCGGCCGGCGACGCCGCTTTCGATTACTTCAAAAAGGTCGTCGACGTGCATAAAATTGAATCCACCGCCGGTGCACTGAGCTTTTCCAGCATCAACAAAGGGTATTTCTGGGAAGCATTGGTTACATTTCTTTACGTCGACATCCTCGACACCACCGGAACTCTCTACTCCATGGCACGTTTCGCCGGATTCGCAGACGAAAACGGAGAGTTTGAAGGTCAGTACTTTGCTTTCATGTCTGACGCAACGTCGATCGTTGTTGGGTCACTCCTTGGGACGTCACCGGTGACAGCGTTTATAGAATCTTCCACCGGAATAAGGGAAGGTGGGAGGACTGGTATGACGGCGTTGACGGTGGCGGGATACTTTATGTTGGCATTTTTCTTCACACCATTGCTAGCGTCGATACCGGCGTGGGCGGTGGGGCCGCCGTTGATACTGGTCGGAGTTCTGATGATGAGATCGGTGGTGGAGATCGACTGGAATGATATGAAACAGGCGATTCCGGCGTTCATGACGTTGATATTGATGCCGTTGACATATTCCATCGCTTATGGATTGATCGGTGGGATAGGGACTTACTTAGTACTGAATTTGTGGGATTGGGGAGAGGGGTTATTAAGTAAATTTGGGGTTCTTAAGGGGGTTAGAAGTGATAGATCTGTTGATAATAGTAGTGTAGGGGGTAATAGAGTAATTGTAGGAAAGGGTATGGATGAAAATGATAAACGGGTTGAAGTTTAGGGGTTTTTTATGAGCATATTTTTCTTATATTGGCTTTTGTTAACGTGATTGATTACTTACGATATTCATCATATTGTTTTTATTTTGTTAGTGAGTACATTATTTGATTTTTATTATAATAGTACAAAAATACAAATTATGTCTATTTGTTTCCTAACGCATATACTATTTAATTTTCATTTAATTAACTCATAATTATACAAAAGTATCTAAATTTCACCATCACGTCTTTATTGAGTAAACGTGCGATTTTCTGATGTGATAACATTATTTAAAGGAATTTATAAAAATAGTAAAAATCGTTAATGTCTTAGCAATTTTTACCAAAAATTAAGAGATTATCAATTTGAGCCAAGAAATGAGAGGTAATTAAGGTAACCTGCGATTTAACCAAGACCAGTACTACATATGAATTATCTATATTGGGCTATGAATCACTCTCTGCTAAGCTCATGGACCAAAAAGTATGTAAAACCTTAAAATCTGAAATAACACTTATTTTCATACTTTTGAGTTATCTTTAATGGCTCTAGTTTAATATTTTTTTTTTCTGAAAACTTTAAAAATTATGTTAATATTTCATGTTTTATTCGTTTTCTAATAAGTCTTATATATTTAAGATTATGTTTATATATGACTTATGGTTAAAAAACGAAGGTGTTCGGATTTTTTTGGAGGAAATCATAAATAATAGAGGTAAATGGCAGGTGCTCTAGTCCTAACTATGGATATACAAGTCACTAATGCATATGTCATGTTATACATTTAAAAATAAATAAATTACAGGTAAAAATGAAAATCGTATGTAGCTCTTATCCATCTACGATTTTATATAATAATAAAAAAAGTTAAGAAATATGACAATTTTTATGCCTACTCAATATCAGTAAAAACAAATGGCAGGCACACAGGCTAAATCGCAAATGACCTTAACCACCTATAAATTGGATCAGTTTTTTGAAATTTTTTGCGGATAAAATAAGGATTTTGGGTCTTTTATAAATTTCTCTTTTATTTATTATTAAGTGTTACAAAATGATCTCTTTTGTACAAAAGTTTATGGACTGGTTTTTCATTGTTTAAATAAATTTTATAATCATTTATAATTCAATTTTATAAGACACAGTATCTATCTGTTATTCCATAGGTTAAATATGACCCTACTTATAAATGCTCTTGATAGAGTCGTCAATATCCTAAAAAACAAACTCATGACATGTTAGTAAATGTATATCTACTCATGTAACTAAATGAACAACATTTATTATATCATTTTATATATTGTTCTTTAAACACTTTTTATAAACAAGTATACAAAATTTTATTTCCCATTATTTAGAATGCCAAAGAAACCACACCAAAATCCATGAATGTTGGACAAACACCTTAAGGTAAGAAAATAATATATAAAGCCAACAAAAATAGGCTAGTTACATAAGTACAACTTAATTAAAAAAGTTACATAAGTACAACTTAATTAAAATAATAAAATAAAATCATCTTATATTATAATTTAAAAATGTTTTTAGCTGATTATTCTATTAACTTTAATTTTTTTTATTAAATAACATCTCTGAGTTAATATCTTTCATATAATTTTTTTAAGAATTTAACTCATATAAGCTCATTTACCTAAAATGTTCTATAAAACCTCCTTATTTAATTACATGCTAGAAAAAATAAAACATGATAATACCCTTGATTATGTGATCACTAAAATCATCTATTAAACAAAATAAAATAAGTAAATATTATAAAATTAAATTTTATTTAAAACTAAAATAAAAGTAAAAAGATAATATGAAATATTATTAAAGAGAGGGGGTTTTGATGTTCAAACATTTGTTAAATATTGACCATTCAATATATCCAATTAATAT